TTTGCTGCTGCTTGTACAAGAAAATTCCACACCAAGGTTATTTTTAGCACGACTTTCACAATTTCACAAAAATAGCAAAGGAAAGGTATTCCCTTTTTCACTTTTTCACATTTTCACTTTCTCTTCTTGCTTTTGCTTTCGCTTTCGATTTCTTTCACTCACTTTTTGCACACTTTTATTCCATTTTATTTAATTGAATTTTATTTTGCTGGAGATTTATTTGCATTTTTGTGCCATTTATTCTGTTGTAATTTTGTAGTATTTTGGTTTTTGATTTGCTGTGTGTGAGTGTGTGTGTGTGCTGCCACACGTGCCACATGCGTGAGCGCGTCCGATGCGGCCTGTGTGTTTTGCTCGCCTTTAAAGTTCATCGAAAACTAATTTCGTTTCGATTTCATACAAAAATCTCAATGGAATTTTTGCTTTTACGCTGCTTTTCCTACAGCCAGCTTTCAGCTTTCCCTTGCTTGCGCCTACTCTCGGTCTTTCAGTCAGCCGTTCCTTCGTTTCGTTTCGGTTCGTTTGTTGTTGTTGTTGTTGTTGTTGTTGCCGCTGGATGGAGCCTACAACACATTTTCCAATAACAATGTTACAACGCTGTTTGGCTGTTGTTGCCGCCGTTAGGGGCACTTTCCCATGGCGCTTCCAGTCCCGAACTAAAAATAAAGTTAAGCGCGTGGCCACGCTGCTGCTGCTGCCGCTGCTGCTGCTGCCACAGCCAGCGCCGACTGCAGCGGCCACTGCGACGCCAGCAGCGATAACATTGACAGCTGCTGCCCCACGTTGGGGTCAGCGGGTTGGTGGCGGGGGTGGGCCAAAGACTGGACCTGGACTCCATTTGTGTTTGTGTTTGGCTTTGGCGCTGCCTTTCCCTTCCACCTTCAAGGCAAAACAGGCCCAAAAGCAACGTGTTTGTCTTTGCTTTCCAGTAAAGGGGGTGGTGCTCCAGCCCCTGCTGTGTGGTGCAGTGTAGGCGCGCGCGTGTCGGTTCCATGGTGGGTTGCAACTTGCCCTCGTTGTTGTTGTTGTTTCGTAGTAAAGAGCATGACGCTGCACAGAGTACCCCCGAAATGCACTGAATGAAATGACGTCGTGCGGCAGGTGGCAACGCAGAAGGGGCAAACAGATAGCAAACTAAGGAGTGCAGTGTAAAAAGTGGAGAAATTCTACGGTCTAGAGTCCAGTTAGCCGACAGCCAAATGACAAATGTGACGCAAGTAATGGCAGCCTACAGAAACGTATAAACATAGGTAGAAGGTGTTTTATGTGACCTGCATAGCTATAAATTAAATATAACGGCCACTAGTAGGGAATTAGTTGAAGGCCCATGAGATCGCCAAGGAAAAGAGTTAAGAAATTGAAAAATTTCAAATAATCAACTAGTATTGGATCATGGCCTCACAAGGGAAATAACGAGAAATGGAAGTACAATTCAATGGAAATAAGAGACAGCATATTTTCGTAGATATAAACAATTATTTCAGCAAATAATGAGAGGCATTGTTGAGGGCAGGAGCTGTAACAGTATAACAGCGCTGCCAACAGCCTAGGTTAACAGACTGTTACCGCACGCCGTTGACAGTGCTCACGGTAACAGAGCACTGTAAAAGCTCTGGGAGTGGGCTCGCGCTTGCTCTCACGATCCACACGATCCACCCCGATCCACAAGGCTCTGGAGCGGTCTTAGCTTGTAAATCTAATGTGAGTGGCCGCTAATAAAGAGTGGATTCCACGATTATAGATCGATCATATCACTACCCCACTTTTCATTTGTACTACCACAACCTTTTCCCCCCATTATTTGTTATATTTTTCCTTATCTTTACAATTACTCGTCTAAATTTAAATTTTCTTTCCCCATAAAAGAACTAGTTCCGTTAGTAACAGCTCCAAAACGAACTAGTTCCTTGGCAGAACAATATACAACATATTGGCCCATGCAGAAAATCTCAAGTTCAACTAAAAATTTGTGGCTGGTTTTACGCGCGCTTCCCTACAGAACATCAGCTGCTGCTGCTGCTGCCGCTGCTGCTGCTGCCGCTGCTGCTGCTGTCGTTGGCTGCTGCTGCCACCCCAAACCATGGAATATGTAAGAGGTGTAAAGGAGAGAGACAGATAGAGTGAGAGGGAAGCAGCGCCTGCGCTTTGTTTAATGGAAATTTTGTGTGTGGGAATTTTCCAAGCTTTGGAAAGCGCATTCCAACGCATGACGTCTGGTGGCCACCGACCACCGCCACTGCCACTGCCACCGCCACCGCCACCGACCACCGCGCCGCGTGCATTGTGAATTGGCAACAAAGTGTTGGGTTTTTGCGGAGGCGCGTGTTGGCGGCGCGTGGTGGGTTTTCCGGGCTTGAGCTCTGAGTGCAGACGCACCGAGAAAACCACTCAACCCACGCACCCACTCCCACTCCCACTCAGACTGAGGTGCACCCACTCACCTCCCCCTGGGAGGGAAAGGCGCTGCCATGCACCCACTCAGACTGTGGCAACCAATGACATTCACACCCACACGCACACACACTCTCTGTACCCGCTCCCGTTTCCACTTTCTTGAAAAGATATTTACTTGTTCTTCCTTCTTCTTGTTTTTGTTTGTGGCATTATCATTCTGCAACACTGACTTTTGATTTACAACACTCAGGCGGACACAAGTTTTTGCAACACTGCCCCACAAACACACACACACACGCTGAGAAGACATAAGCTCTTGGCCCTCAACTTGCCACCAGGTGGGACCACCATGGACCGACCACCTTATCGGCCTGGTTGCACACCACAGATCAAGGAGAAGGGAGAGAGGAGAGAGGCAGTCGCAACTTTTGTGAGCGCGTAATTTCATGCCACACACTCTGTGGCACTGTGGCTGAGGCCAAAGTTGAAATCAATAATTATTATATGCTAGTTTGCTGGGAAATTGAAAATGACAGCAGCTGGAGAGGGGGAGGGGAGTGTTGGGGAAGTGCAACATGCTTGCCAGAAACTTGCGCGCTAATGTGCAGGCAATAAAAAATTTAAATCACCAAGCGCCGCATGTTGCATACTTGTAGGCGCTACAGAAAATACTCTTGTCGCAGCAGCAGCAGCAGCAACAGCAGGGGGAATGCCCCAAGTCTTGGGCCTGGGAGGCTGCAACAGCAGCGGCAAGTGCCAACAAGAAACTTTCTAATTAGGATAATAAATTTCGCCCCAGCATCTCGCACTTGACAACATCGTACCCGGCATCTTTCAAACACAAGAAGGGGGCGAAAAAAAAAACATGAAGAGCAGAAGAAGAGCGCAACCATGGAGACAGACCCTCCTTGGCCCCCGCAGTTATTGGCCAAGTGCAGGCTGCTTGGCCAACTTCTTGATGTTTTGTGGTGGCTGCCAAAAAGGAAAAGCTGCTTGTCGTTCATGCTGCCTCCTCCCTCAATCTACCTCTCTGCTTCTCCGCTGCTTGTTTGTTGGAAAATGTGTGTTTTCGGGTCAGCTGTGTGCAGCAGGCAGGCAACCTTCGTGTCCGCCCCCTGGCCCATATCTTTGGCTTTTTCTTTCATACCTTTCGGTAGTGCTCCACCACCACCCCCTCCCCGTCCTTCCTTCTGCTCCACGCTCTTGGTTCGCTTTCGGCCTGGTCTATAATTTATGCTGATTGCATTTAACGGTACGACAAAAGTGGCTCGCTCGCCTAAAAGTATGCAGCGTCCAAAAGTGCGCACTTGTCGCGCGGTCGCCGCCTCGCTTTCGGTTCCGTTCTGTTCCCTCTGTAAACAATTTATTTTTATTTTTCTTCTTACTCCTTTTCCTCTTCCGCCGTTACAGATTCACGGGTGCCTCTGTTGTCGAGTCAAGTGCCGTGCCCCCGTGCCACCGTGCCCCGTGCCCCTTCCCAAAAGATAAGCGCATCGAAATGTTTCCGCGCTACAAAACATTCTTCGTTCCACTTCCCATTCACCTCCTCCTCCTCCTCCTCCTCCTCTTTCTTCTTCTGCTTCCTTTACGTTCGCTCTTTCATTGCACGTGTGTGCAAATAACCGCGAATTTATACACTGAGCGAATAGAGAGTACAGACAAGTGTGTTCCGGTTTGAAACTTTCCCTTTTAAAAGCAGAATATTCGAAAAATCCCATATACGATGAGCATAAAAGTACACTGAGAGAGAAGGGGTGTAAGTTGTGGCTATACGTCTCGCTTTTGTTTAAATTTTCTTATGATTTACCTCTACAGATCGAGTTCTTTCGTGGTTTTCATGACTTTCCTGACTTTTTCTTACAGTGTACCGTATGCATGTGCGCTCTGCTCTCTATTTTTATAGCCCCCCGGCATTTTGCAGTCTGCATTTTGGCTTTTGCGGTGGCTTAAATTTCCATTTTCCCCACCAAATCGGGAACCGGAGAAGGAGATTCCATTAAGAGCTTAAAACTAACTTAAAAGATCTTAACTTAAGGTCTAACTTATAGACATTTTGAGAGATGTAAAGAAGACACAAAGATATGGCAAATGTATGTACAAAAGATCGTTTAAATATTTACACGAAATAAATGAAAAAGTGTGATGAAAACAAAAGATTAAAAGCATTGAAGAATTTGGATTTTTTTGTTTTTTTGTTTTTTTTTTTTTTGGTGGAAAAACGCACATCAATTACGGAGCCAAAGAAAAAGACAACGTACCAATAAGAGACAAGAGAGAGAGAGAGAGAGAGTGCTACTTTTTGTTTTAGTAAAGAAAATACTTTTTTGAAAGTTTTCTTTTTGGGTTTCTTTGGTTTGCGAGCGAGCGAGTCAAAGACAGTATTCATTTAGAGATAGTGAAATACTTTGGAGAGAAAACATCAATTGTTGCGGCTTGTTGCCACGTGGATGGTTGGGACATTAAGAGAGCTTTAAAATTGAAGCGATAGCGAGAGAAAGGGAGAGATCGCTCAGGCAATCCATAGAGAGAGAGAGAGAGAGAGTGAGGGGGATAGAGCAGACAGAGAGAGAGAGGGTGACGAAATTGGAGAAAACGTTTCAACTCACCATCGTAATCGGAGCCCGCACTGACAGTGGCTCCTGCCCCGGCCGCCTGGGCCTGGGCCTGCAGCAGCTGATTCTGGAACTCCTCCTCGGAGCTGCTGAAGGATCGCTGCTGCTGTGAGGCATACTGGGGCCTTCGATTTTGCTGCTGCTGGTGCTGCTGCTGCTGCTGAAGTTGCTGCTGACCGTACGAGCTGCTGTCCATGGCATGTCCCCCGCTGATGGTCAGGTTTCGGGTCAGTGGCGGCGCCTTCTGGTAGCCACCAGCCATCTGCTGGGACATGGACATCGACTGCTGGGAATGGGGATGGATCTGCTGCTGTTGTTGCCCCTGTTGCATGTGCGATTGCGGTGGAGTATGTATCTGTGCCTGGTACGTTTGCTGTCGCGCCGCAAATTGTTGCTGCTGTGGATGTTGCTGCTGCTGTTGTGGATGTTGCTGCTGCTGATGCTGATGCTGCTGCTGCTGGTGCTGCGAATGTTGTGGGTGTTGCTGCTGCTGCTGATGCTGTGGATGTTGCTGCTGCTGCTGTTGTGAATGCTGCGGCTGCACTTGGCTGGGATGCGCCAGATGGGGATGTTGTTTCATCAAGCCATCCAGTTCGCCCTTTTTGGAGGGAAAAAAGCATTAGTTATGGTCTAAAATAAGTCGTTTCTATACTCCACCTGATAGTAACGCGGATCATCTTCTGGATAGGCTCCACCCGATCTCTGCTGCTGCTGTTGCTGCTGCTGCTGCTGTTGTTGTTGCATGCTATAGCCCCCGTATCCCTGCTGCGACTGCTGCGGATTCATTGGCTGCATGCGGCCTCGCTGTTGCTGTGGATGCTGCTGCTGCTGTTGATGCGGATGCTGGCCCGGGCTCATCATGGGATCCATGCCACTGTCCGAGACGGACAGACGGCGATTCGTGGGCTGCTCCTGCTGCGAGTACTGCCTCCGTAGCATGCTGCCAGCCCGTTGCATGGGCAGGTTCTCCTTCTCGGCGGCACTGCGCGTACGTTCCAGCTTGGGCCGCTTGTCCGTCGTGTCGCGCGGATCCACAATGGCCTGCTGGGAGATATCCTAAGGGCAAGAAAGGATACAGGAAACACTATAGAGACCCGGTCATATGACGGCTGTACTCACGCTGCTGCCGTCGGGCTCGATGCGGCGGATAAAACCGTCCTGCTGGGCTCCCGTTTTGTTGATCCATTGGCCCGTCTTGGAGAGCAGCTCCTGCTTCTTGCGGCAGAGTATACACACCCAAATCACCTGAAAGACAGACACAGACACACCGTATATCATTGCCGCTTCAATCAATCGTTCACTCTCTAGAAAATCTATCTGTAGGATATAGTAATAAATTTATGAATATGGAAGAGGCAACACTGGACGATCTGTTTGTGAATGCCGATGAGGAAGAGTATGAGGAGGAGCCACAGGAGCCCCCGGTTAGGGGATCCCTGCTCTATTTCATGGCAAAAATGTGGGATTTCTGGAACTGGAACATCCGGATGGTCACCTACGTGGAGCGTTTACCTCTCGAGTACTTTGCCGGCTTCTGGCATTTCCATATCGTTCATGCCGGCGACTATTTGGATCCAGAATTAAATTTGCGGCGCTTTCAATGGTACCACATATCGGTGGTATTTCGTGGCACAAGCTTATGGACACACCAAAGAAATAGTCCTCGTCATGGTGCCATTGGAATGCCACTTGAAATTCGATGAAAACACCCCCCCTCCTGCTCCACGCTGATGTTTGCCCCCCCACCCCTTCCATCCTTCCCCCTCGGAGAGGACCCCGTCAACATCTGGTATCGTATCTTCGTCGTGTCTGAGGTTGTGTGACATTTTGGCAGCAATTCAACGATGGAAAAACGTTTGGCAGCACGGCCAGCAGATGATAAGCTCGCGGGGAGTAACCGGAACCCCCTCCACCTCCCTCCCACCCTCCCAACGATACGGTTCACTGAGTTAAATAAAAAATTGAAAAAAAAAAAATGTAATTGAAATGCGATGCACTGCACTGTACAGGGGGGAGGGCGGAGGGGGAGTGCAGGGATATGCACTGCGGGGCAAGAAGTCCGTAGACCGTTGAAAAGTATTCCAATGCCAACAATTTGGAGAAAGAGAGAAAGCTCAAGGAAATGCTCATCGATTGGGGAGGAAGAGTTCTCTGGTGAATGGTTCTCTCATTCAATAACTGGTTGGAATGCTGCCAGTCACGTGTAAACGTTGAATGATTGAATTCTCAGGGGAAACGGAATTATTCAAGAATTATTAAAGGTATTGGGGACGCTCTTAATCCTTTCCTCTAGGTACGCTATTGTTTTACGCGTCATGCAGCAGTTCCCCTCAGTCAGTTATGTGCGTTTTCATCTGGAAAAGGGGCGTACAAGTGGTAGCCTCCTAACATCACCAACATGTGCCATTATTCATGCCCTGAATATCGCATATCTTTTCTTTTTTCTCTCTTGGGACCGACTTTTGCTAGTCGCCAAAAGCTCTGTACTATTTTTCTAGGTTCTGCAGACCAAAGAGTAATTATTTTCGGCGCCTCGCCAAAGAATATGTACATTGTTGTTGGATTTTGGGGACCAACTCAGCTGCAAAAGGCATTCACGGCGCTCAGAGGCCAAGCATTATTCCAGTTCCCCAAAAAGCATCGAAATTTTATTGAAATGGGATTTGCTCCCGAGGCAATATCCTTTTATTTTATAGTCCTTGATTAGGAGGCAGTTTTCCCAACTACATTTGCTTCATTCCTTTACAGATCCCTCGCAAAGTTCCCTCTCATCTCCTGGCCTTTAGAAAGAACACTCTCAAAGGCCTATCTTCCTACCCAGAAACCACTTATTTTTTTTAAATAATGAGTGTCAAATTGTGAGGCGCCAGACTGGACCCCAGAGCTCATGGACACCCACTCGGTTGGCCGCCGACTCTCGCCAATTATCTATCCCCCATACGACGGGTGGGGGAGGGGCGGCGACGACGACTGTGGCGTTTATTTATGCACACTACGCGTCACTGGGGACAGTTGGCAACAAGGCGACAAGCACTGCCAATGGGGCGTATGAGTGATGGCTGCTTAGGGGTCGCCAGCCGCCTGGCGTCAGAGTTTTGGCAACGTCGTCGACCTATTTATCAATGAGCGGAAAATTAAGCTGTCCCCGAGTCCAAGCCCAAAAGTCAGCATTTACGCGCTGCCACGCGCTGCCCCTCTCCCAAAGGCCTGAAGGCAGGGGTCTGAAGGCAGCTCCAGTCGAGAGTGAGATTCGATTCGATTCGATTTGATTCAGTCTGCTGTCAGTCAAATGGCGGATGGCGGATGGCGGCTTACTGCACTCACCTTGTTGCTGCGAAGTGTCACCTTGCCGCCGCAACGGGCACAGCAGCGTATGTTGCAGTAATGGCAAATGTGTCCGACGCCATCGGCAAACTTGGTCTTAAGGCATATGTGACAGGTGGCATCCAGCTCGACGCCGGCCTTCTTTTGCTGCTCGGAGCGTTGTCTGATTTGCATTTCCAAAGTGACAACCTCGTCCTGTTTGCGACTGCACGGCGGAGAGAGGGAGAGAAAACCATTAAGAACAATGCAATCACTGAATAGAGTAGAGGATGTATCCATCCATCTATCCATCCATCTATCTATAGCTTACCGCATTATCTCGTTCTGTGCCTCCTCCTCCTGCTTCTGCCGCATGAGCACATTCTCGATCTGCATGCGCTCGTGGGGGGTCAAATGCGAGAGATCGGGCATGTCGTCCATGGCTGCTGATTGGCTGATTGGCTGGTCTATGGGTGGGTCTGTTGATGGTCTCTTCCACGTCTCACAGTTGCGCCGTTTTAAACTAACTTTAGTTGCACTAATTAGCTTTAGTATCAATAAACTTTTCTTCTTGTTAAATATTTATAGAAATTTTTTTAGTTGGATTTAAAGCTTGTTTTCTTTTTTTTGGAATGCACTTTAGCAATATGTATTTATAAATATTTAAATATTATTATTTAAATTTAATATGTGGATTATTTGTTAAACCATTCTGATAGAAAATCACAGAGCAAATTTCAAAATTTCTTATGGTCTTTTGTTCTTTCTTTTTTGTTTTGTTTGGTTTTTGTTTTGGTTTTTTGTTTTTGTTGTTAGATTTTTTTTGTAGACATTTGGAAATTCGTTGAAAAATTTTTGTTCACAATGCACTCGTTTCTCTGTCTCTGTGTCTGTGTCTCTGTGTGTGTGTGTGTGTGGTGTGTCTCTTGTGTGTGTGCGTGTTTGTGTATGTGTGCCATGCCCTCTGACCCGTTTTTTGTTTTTGGTTTTTGTTTTATTTTGCGGATGGATGGCGCACAACTTCCTTCTTTGTGTGTGTTTGGCTTCCTTTTTCCTCCTTTGTTTTTAGACTTTTGTATTTCTTTGGTTGAATGCAAATTTGTGTGGAAAATTCTTCGTTTCTTCTTCTTCGTCTTCTGGTTTTTGCCTCATTTTTCCTCTACAGCTGCCACTTCGACTGCCTCTACTGCCGCTCTATATCGTTGCCGGCCCTTTGTAGCTGTTGCCTCTAATTGCAGTTTTTGTTCTTGTTTATGTTGTTGTATATTTTGTTGCTGTTGTTGCTGCTGCTGTTGTTGTTGTTGTTGCCGCTGTGGATGTTGCCTTGTGCGTGGCTGCGTCATTTTTGCTTTCCAAATTACAGGCACCAACACTCCACTCCTCCTCGGTACACAGGGATTTGTAAATTTCTAGTTTTTTAGCACTAGAAAAAGCAAAACAGACAAGAAAAAGGTTTAAAGTGTTTGTATGTTTTATGTGGGCTTAAAATTGCTTAAATTCTGACTGAAAATAGAGCAGAGCTGGCATAAATTATGCCTTTAATCTATGCATAAATCGTCTTTGAAGTCCAACAAAAAGCGGCATACAATACAATAATTATTTTCATTTTTAATCTATAGAGTATTTCCCCCTTAAAGTGCACAAAGGAAGGGGAAAAAAGGAAGATTTGAAGTATTTTTTAGAGCAATCTATTATTAATGGATTTTTTCCCAATGGGATATAAATTATAGTCAAAAAGTAATAAAATATTGGTTTCAAACTCCAACAAAAGGGACACCATAAATTCCTGAAACAAAAATAAACCAAAAGACATATAAATTTCATCATAAAGAAAGTGAAAAATACTGCTTTTAATCCACATAGAAATTTTTCCTTAGAAAACGAATCTCGAAACCGGAAAAGCGTAGGTAAAAGCGGATAATAATTGCATTCCTCTGAGAATTGCTGCTGGTATTTATTCTGGTTTATAAAATCATTCCTGGAAAAGCAGCTCAATTGCATAGAGAAGAAAAATAGCCACAGATTCCCTGCCACTTCGGGGGAAATGGAACAAAAACAGCCCGAGAGTTTTCTCGAGTAAATTCCAATAACTGCATAGATATGGAAAAATTGCTTAAATTTCATTTAATTTCTCTTGCCAATAATCTGTTGAGCATGAAAAAAGGGGAGAATACCGCAACACGTTTAAAAAATATTTCATATTGCAGCCCAAAAGCAGGCAGCACTTTTTATGCAGGACCCGAGAAACATTTTTAGTTTGTCTCCCAAAAGCAGGCAATACCTTTTACTTCCCCTGAGCACTTCCTTCAATCGCATCCCAAAAGCAGGCAGCATTTTTTCTAATGGATGCAAACTAAATTGTAACTCGCATCCCAAAAGCAGGCAACACTTTTTTCTTCTCCCCATTTAATTAAAATCCGTAAAAACATAAAATGCCATGTGAAAGAAATTTTAAAATATAAACTAAAATGAGAACAAAACAAGTATATATAGAAAAAAAAAAACTAACGGAAATGAGAAATTTTAACGAGATGAGGTCCAGGCAAGGGCCCTCCCAGGGTGGGTGGAGGGTGGAGTTTCTGGCCGCAATGCAAACATATGTAACTGTATTTATGGCCATCAACGTGCCAGGGCAAACAAGCAACCAACCAGCCGCAAAACGGGGCAAGTAGTCGTAGTCGTGGGTCGGTCCCTTCACAGCGAGAGAGAGAGAGCGAGCGAGAGAGAGGGAGAGACAGGGGGGACAGTGGGGACATTGCGGTTGACACGGTGACGCACGTACAAAATGCGAAAATATATACGAGGCCATCTGTACAACCCCTCCACCCCCACCCCCCCTCCCCAACCGATATACTAGATATAGCTGCCACGCATAAAGAGGAGATTGCCTGCCCAGACGGAAGAGACATTGAGGGGCGGAGGGTGGCGTTCGGGGGGTGCTATTTATGTTGACAAATCCCCCTACTACCCACCTGATTGGGGGCGGGGAAGGGTGGTGCAGCAAAAATATGCAACCGGATGCAAACACTTTACGGAACTTAGGAAACGGCAGCAAGTAGCTTTCAATGTGCCTCATTTCCTTATGCCACAGGAAGCAATCGACGTCCCTAAACGTAATTAAATGCCCTCATCGTAGAGGAGCAGGAAGGGTATCGACCTCTAATCTGTGCGGCCAGGAGCAGCTGTTGCCACAGGATTTGCAGCAGCTTTGATTGCATAAATATTGCAGCAGGTGCGCCAGGTCGGAGGACATTTGTCTTTGAATTAAATTTGATTCATGGAGCATCAAAACTCCGAGCACAACGAAACTCCAATTGATTTGCTCATCTGAATGGATATTTATTGCGGGTTTATGGCTGCTGGTGTCTTATCCTTAGGGCATACACACACCCACACACACACACACACACACACATGCCCCCTCTTGGCCTATAACTTATGTAGTTCAAGCGAGATAAAATCCAGCTTCCAGTGGTGTTTATGGGCCTCTGCTTTATGCCCTGTGCCTCGGTCCCAGTGTCTGTCTGTGACAGGCTCCCGGCTATGGATTCAACGTCAGAGCATCAGCTCCCTGTGGCTCATGAATTGATAATGCAGCAAATGCAGCATGAGGCGCCTGCAACAACAGCGACAACATCCATGCAAAATTGATGACTGCGTTGGGGTTGGGGTTGGGCCTGGGCCTGGGCCTGGGGTTGGGCTTTCGGTTTGGGGGCCAGCTGTGTGAGACTTAAGTGGCTGCTTTATGCCACCAGATGCCATACCGAGCGTGAAATCAGGACACCAGGACACACACACACACACACACACACACATAGTCGCTGAATGGGAAACGAGGGAATGGTTTGCTACAGGAACACGAAACATTAAGACAGCATTAAGTGTTAAGGCATGGAGGTCGTATTTGTATTAACTGGAAATTTATATATTTGAAATTTTAAAATTTCTGTAAAAATTAGGAAAATATAATCCAAGTAATGCCTTTTTTTACCTAACAAAAACCTTGTTTTTTTCTGTATTTGTATTTAATGGAAATTTAAATGGAAATTTTAAAAATTTCCAATTTCTCATTTTCTGTAGAAAATACGAAAATATAACCCAAAGAATACCTATTTTTTTTTTTACCTAAACTATGCAAATAATTCTAAAAAAATTAACTTAATGCTTTTATGGGTGGTTTTTTTTCTGTAGAAATTTAAAAAATTTCCAGTCTCTAATCTTCTGTAGAAAATATGAAAACATAAACCAAGGAATAGCTATTTTTTGTACCTAAACTATGCAATAATTAAAAAAAAAATAAATACCTTAATGCTTTTACAAAAGGTTTTTTCTGTAGAACATTTCTCTAATTTTCTGTAGAAAATATAAAAATATAACCCAAGGAATGCCTTCTTTCTAGTAAAAGTTGGTGTTTTCCTGCCTGAATTGTTTTTCCTTGATTTTTATGATTTTCTCTTCTGCACACATAAATCATGCAAATGGAATATTCATTCTCTGGTATTCAAAACTTTATTTAATTAGTTGAATAAACAAATAAATAAAGTAAATTGTGAAAAGACAGGCAGGCAGGCAGGCAGGAGAGACAGAGAGGGAGAGGGGGCAGGAGGCAGGAGGCAGGAGAGCGGAAGAGCATTAACTATTCACCACGAAACCTCCTCTCGAATGCGCGCGCTTGCGTTGGCCAGCGAGAGAAATTCCCCCATAAATTTCCCTATGTATTCCCTGTATTGAAAATTTCCCGCTGTAATTATATCCCCCCCCCCCCACCGCCTGTCGTTTACTTCGTGGCAGATAAAAACACATTCCCGCTGACCGTACAACCCGAAGAACAGATGATGGAAAACCCCCAAAGCGCAAAGGAAAAACTTATCAGGCACAAGGATAAATTATAATAATAATGAAAAATCCAATGAAGGGAGGAGGGAGGGGGAATGCAAGCAGGAGGAGGAGGTCAGTTCTTTGGCCCTGTGTGTGTGGCGCCGCCTGGCCATTAGCCAAGGTTATGCCACATTACGCATACGCCCCCGCACCAAACGAGTGAAGGGAATAGCTCACATACGTGGCAGTAGCCAGCCGCCCGTCGCCCGCCGCCCGCCTCCCCCACACACACTGTCCGCCATGTGAAATGTGAAAGTTCACTGCCAAACTCTGCCACGGCTCCTGCTGTTGTTGCTGCCTCTTGCCTTTTTCCCCAGCTGATAATTGACGCTTTCAATTAGCCATCGCAATCAGCAGCAGAAGAGCCAAACAGCAAGAAACCGCATTGAAAATGCATTTGAAAATGTCCAACAGAAACGCCCCCTCCCCTCCCCGCCCCTCCTCTGTTTCAGAGGGCAAGGGGTAACACATTGCAACACAAGAAAACCATAAAGCAAAAGGTCAACATGCAAAATGCTTGCAATCGAAAGCCGAGAATAATGTAAATTGTGGAAAATAAGAAGGAAACAAATAGAAGAGCAAACGATGGTCCGTGGATCCGTGGATCCGTGGGGCGCGTGGGTTCGGCACTCTTCTCGGTATTAAAGATTAGCTGCTATTTTC